TTTGATATATATAAAACAACGTGCCTGTTCTATCTATTGATCATAAGAAGGAATTTCTTTGTGCTGAAATTGGATCGATTTAATTGGTCGGCAAATAATGTTGAACACTAATAAGTATAACTTGTCTGATATTCACTTAAATAATTTATACATAGAGAGAAAATACCTGCACTATCCTAGCATCCTATTTCAACTACAGAAAGACATAAGCTTTAAATGATCACGAACTAAAATCACGGTAAATATAAACTCGGACTCCATTCAGTAAATTACGTACAAGTCAAATACCATCGTTTGATTTGATAAAATATTGAATTACTCAAGCGACCTTGAGCTGTCCTTAAAGGCACATTATGCTTCAGAATAATATTTTACTTCTTTAGAAAGTACGTGTTTTATAATGTTTAGATAATGCTTTTAGAACATGTAAGGTGTTTGTTACCTGATGTAGCGATAAATGTAAAATAATTGTCAATAAAGTAGTAAAATGTAAACAAAGTAGTAGTAAGATTTCCATACAAAATACTAAATCACTATAACTGTACATATTGCATAAAAAGAAACAGACGAAAAATGGCCATTGATAATTGGCCATTTGTAACATTTTGGAAACTTTTAAAGTACACAAAAAATATATATATAAAGCTTTTGAGGAATAAAAACTTAAGAATTTCTGGAGCATAATGGGGCTGTAAATTATTAACAATCTCCAAAAATGTCATAATTTGTCACAAATTCGTGTTCAGAATACAGGTATGCAGTTAAATAAATGATGATAAATTAGGACATACTCGTATTTGCCATACATAAGTAAAACGATGTTTTGCATGCATTTTGTAAATAGTTGCATGAGCCGTGTCATGACAAAACCAACATAATGGGTTTGAGTCTGATCAGGATCCATGCTGTTCGCTTACAAACCCTATAACAAGTAGAGATCAAACTGCGCGGGTGCAAAGGCTGGTCTGGATCCATGGGTCATACATAGGATTTTAGATATGTACTATGAAATCAGAGAACTAACTCATAAATAATAACAGATATATTAGAATGGAGTTATTTCTTGTGAGTAACAACAAATTTTACTATGGAGGGCGATCGTTGCCAAAATTCCAGACATGTAATGTGTTCCTTTTGAAAACTACTTTTGAAAATGCGAACGGGTATGTCTAGCATTTTTTATTATATTCGTGCACAGCAAATGATATGCCTCTTAATCCCGTCTTTAAATTGAAGGCACCCGCTTTTAAATAACAAGTTTACATGTAAATCTTAACAACTGACCTAACATGGAGAACAACAACAAATTTACAAGTTCGTATCTTCCACATAAGCATTTTTGCACACTTGTAGATATCTATATGTACCTGAAAAATACAAATGAAATGTAAAACTCGAATACAGAAAATAGAATTTAATAAAACGTGTTTCCAGTCGTAGAACTACAACAGTACGTTTACACAGTAACATGTTTAAAATGACAAAAGTAGATTCACAAAGTTAAACGATTTTAACTCATGCATGACGCCCCGCCCCTCTCTGAGTATTTACGATCTTCTATCACGGAGATGTACGGACAGGTATAATACCCGTCGCCTCTCTCCTATTTCTCAATAAAGTGAAGGAAAACACGGCGTCCATTCTAACTTTTTTTATTTCTATAAAAAGTCAAATATTTTTGGTATCAAATGAAAGATTACTCCATAAGCTTTCTATGAGTGCCTCAGAAATACAAATGAATTAAGTAGATGTATTGAAATGTTTGTTGCAAAATTTATCATTTTTCCTCTTAAAATGACAGTTTCGAATTTGTTAGAAAACCACGGCGTTCCCTCCAAACTTTTTTTATCTCGTAATCAATTTTGATAATTTTGGATTAAAATAAAAGTGTGCTTCATACGATTTATGATATATAATTATATAACGCCTAAAAATAAAAATGAATTAAATCAAAATGAATTAACTTTTCGTTTTAAAGTTTATCATGTTACTTTCTGTAAAATAGAGAAAATAAGAATCCCTAAAGAACGCTCAAAACGACAAAATTGAGAATGTTGCAGTTGAGCCTGTTCATGGACGATAATGGAAAGTGCAAGTTACCGTCCACGCCCCCAAGCACCGGTTTAAGCAAAATTCAACATTTAACATGAACTGGTACAATTTTGAATTTTGAAACATCCGCAGAAGTGTTAATAAGGCGATTATCAAGGAACCTTCAATGTGACACGTAAGTGCCATTCCATGAAAAACGGCACACGGTCCCCTAGTAAAAAAAACAAAACACACACTCTGAAATTCAGTAAGAGAAACATGTCGCCCCCTTCTAACTTTTTATTTTATTTCTTGGTCAATTTTGATAATTTTAGACTCAAGTAAAAGAATACTTCATGAACTTTCTAGTGATGCCTAAAAATGAAATTTAATTACGTAGACGTATTAAAAATTTTGTTTCAAACTTATCGTTGTTTATTTTTTCTCTCTTAAAAAAGAGAAAAAAAGAATCCCTAATAAATAGATAAATTGAGAATCCCTAAAGAAAGCCCAACACGGCAAAATTGAAAATGTTGCAGGCTCGGTTTGATTGAGCCTGTTCATGGACGGTACTGGAAAGTGCAAGTTACCGTCCACGCCCCCTAGCACCGGCTTAAGCAGAATTCAACATTTAAGCGTGAAATAGTAAAATTTTGAATTTCGAAACATCGACATATGTGTTCATACGGCAGTTATCATGGAACCTTCAATGTGACACTTCCATGCCATTCCATGAAAAGCGGCGTATGGTCCCCAAGTAATAAAAAGCATTAATAATAAGTAATAAAAGTAATAAAGTAATAAAATAGTAATAAAAGTTCAACACAACAAAATTGAAAATGTTACAGGCTCGGTTTGATTGAGCCTGTTCATGGACGGTACTTGGGAAAGTTGCAAAAAATATGAAAAAACAAGGGCTCAACAAGGGCGCAAAGGCGGCGTTTCAATGAACGCAAGTTACCGTCCACGCCCACTTAGCACCGGCTTAAGCAGAGTTCAAACATTTAACCACACTCATATATTCGGCAAGAAAATCACGTCGCTTCCTTAAGACACTTTATTCAAAAAAGAAAATGAAAACAAGTACATTAAAAATCTCGGAAATAAAGTGATCCCTCGGAAGCATTGATCACAACAAAATTACATAAGAATTGCAGACTCGGTTTGATTGAGTCTGTACATGAGGGATAATGAACAAGTGCAACATCCTTCACGCCCCCTAGCACCGGCTTGAGCGGTACTCCAATTCTCAACACTTAATTAGCGCTGGCATCAATGATCCCGAAGGACCAGGAAAATATAACAACACTGAAGTGAAGTACGGGGCAACTTTTTACAGCTGCCACACGGCTCTTGACACCTGCTGTTATATGAAGTATAAAAATCTGGAAACAAAGTGATCCCTCGGAAGCATTAATCAAAACAAAATTACATAAGTATTGCAGACTCGGTTTGATTGAGTATGTACGTGAGGGATAATGAACAAGTGCAAAAAGTTTTTATTCATACTGAAAATACCTTATTAAAGATTGTACATATGTGCTACGGATAAGTATTTTCTTGATTTCGAAAAAGGAATCTCGCGTGGCTGCTTTAAAATCCTATTTTTGCAAATTACTTGCATAGTTTTTGTTGAAAATGAAATTTGTGCCAATATATTTTTCAATGATACCAATAAAAATATTGGATGGTTTTTAGATTATCAATAAATTACTCCCTTGAAGTTGGTCATTGTTTCCCCTAAAAATGTCCAAATCGCCGATGTTTCTCAGGAAAACACCATGTTAGATAATAAGTTAATGCATAAGTTTTTCTTAATCATAAATGGTTAAAATCAGCAATTATCAAGTGATGTTGCTATTGACAAAACTTTTGTAACAAATGTAACAAATATACATGTATGTTATGAAAAAATGCCGTATGTTGTCCTTAAGTTTTTTTTTAGAAAAACGGGAGAGGCGCCGTTTTATACCTGTCCGCCAATAGATGTTCGTAAATACTCAGAGAGGGGCGGGGCGTTATGCTTGACTTAAAATCGTTTAACTTTGTGAATCCACTTTTTTCATTTTAAACATGTTACTGTGTTAACGTACTGTTGTAGTTCTTCAACTGGTAACACGTTTTCTTAATCTCTATTTTCTGTATTTAAGATTTATATTTCATTTGTATATTTCAGATCTATAATTGTGCAAACATGCATATGTATTGCATGGAATGAAAGATACGAATTTATAAATTTGTTGTCGTTTTAGATGTTAGGTCAGTTGTTACGATCAATATGTAAACTTGTTATATAAAGGCGGGAACCTTCAATTAAAACATTGAATTAAGAGACATATTATGTGCTATGCACGGGTACAATAAAAAATGGTAGGCATACAAGTTCGCATTTTCAAAAGTCATTTTAAAAAGGAACACTTTACATGTCTGGAATTTTGGCAACGAACGCCCTCCATATTTTACAACCCAAAGCCATACTTTCAGATTTCATACTTCAAATTCTAAACCTTGTTTAAAAAAAAAAAACACAAACGCGCGCGCAAACGCGCACAGACATACGCACGTACACACATTTTTGTTTGTGATACTGTTTGTGAATAAATGGCCTAGGAATAGACAGAAAATGCAGGTTTAAATTTTTCACTGCTCAAAACCGTAAAAGTACATTCATTATGCGCGGGAGTTAACCATAAATGACTTAATGCCTTATTTATAAATGCCTACATTAGGCATACGTGTCTTATGCCTAATCATAAATTAAACTGTGCATTTCCTGTTTTAGACAGGAACGTTGTTTGTTATCGCTATTTATTTTAAACGATAATGATAGAAGAAGCATAATGTCATTAATAAAAACAATGAAACAATAAGTCGTTTTATATAGTAATCTGTAAATTCATAGAAAGTGACACATTGTTTTATTTCAATCAAATGTTACAAAATAAGTGAAAAACAACAAATAAGACCGTGTTTAACAGAATTATTTAACGTTTTCCCACAATAAAACCCTGATCTATTATTGAAGCACATGTACAGTATGTTCTTTCACAAATGCCTCTGTCACATGAACCTTGGCACCATTTATCCCAATATCTTCGATCTCCACTTCCGACTGATCCATTTGCACCGCATTTGCCTAATGACGTCACATCCGGTTTTCTAGTTGTTGTTGAAGTGGTTGGCTGATCTACAGCTTCGGTGCATTCACAATTTGCTTTTGGACACACTCCTCCATTGCATTCATTCGTGCACCTTAAAGAAATATCGAGAATAAAAGAAAGAAATGACGAAACTAACGAGCCTATTCCTCTGCAGGGTTCTCATCAGCCTTTTAGACCAATTAAAATCATTAATCATTATCATAAGAAAACAAAGGCTTTCTGAATTTAAAAAAAAATCATATTTATAGATCTAAATTTTGACTTTGCTAAAGCCGCTTCTAGTGGGTATGGACTTTTAAATTGCACTTTCATTTACCGTCCATGATCGAGCTTTCTTGCATGTCATACAAGATTATCTATCGTTTACACCGGTGCTTGAAAATATGAATCTTACACCGGCTGCCGGCAATCGCAACTACTCGGTCCTTTCCGTCAGTCTCCGGATAAGGACCTCGAACACAATAGTGCGAATACACAGAACGGATGCGGTATTTCGGTCTAACCTACGCTAAGAAACTAAATATGTAAACATATAGTAATTTAATGTTGGAGTTGTTCCAATATATGTAGTAAAAGTTCACCTAAAATAAGTGAATTCATAGGTACAAAAGCAAACAATACATTACGAGTGACCGCTAAACAGTTACCCGAAGTGAACAAGATGACAAAAGTCTAAGGCCAAAAGTTACGGACGTATTAACAAATGACAAATGTTAAGTATACCAAATATCAAAAACATCATTTCCAGCAAAAGAGCCTATGGCACGGCATATTTTCCTGGCATGTGTCACCGCCTTTACAGTGGTTGGGGTTGAAGTAGACGGGGTGACTATCTTTTGAACCAAGACGCACTTGCAAGATTCAGAAGGACAATTTCCTCGTGCGCACGAGTCCGCACAAATTCTGAAATAATAAGGCATAATTTATATACATGCATATTGATTAACTTCATAAATAAACAATATGCATTTAAAAATTTTCTTTGCATTATGAAGCTTTATTTAAGAAAAAAAACCAAGATAATTTTGATTCGTGCATACACATCACCGAATATTTAAGCAGACTATGTCTGTATTAACCAGAAGTATAATATAAATTTGCTATGCAAGTTGTAAAACAACAACAATCCTGTCATGGACTTTGGATTATCTCATATGAGCAAGTTTTCCAGCAAGCTTACAGAACGGCAATTGGACTCCGGTGCCACTTCGAGCCTGAATAATGCATTGAAGGGCATCTGAGGTCGTTCTCAATCAAAAAAGCTAAAAAGTCACAACATGCTCTTAACTGTGTTTGAGTGACCTAAGCCCGACCAAAAGAAGATAATACCTATCAAAATATGAATTTCCTGCCCAGTCATTTATTGCTTTACATTCAACACGGTTAACAATCTGTTGGTTTGGCTGAAATATAAAAAAGATATATTCTATCTTGTCTATAAATTATTCAAAGGAATTAAAGAAGAATCTTATTGCGGTAATAAAAATAAAACTTCACATAACGTTTCGTATTTCATTGAAGACAATAACAAAAGTTGATTTAAATGCTAGTAAAAAAAATGTTTTCTCTATAATTATATATAGTGGCATAGTGGTAGAAGTTGGGAGGTACATGGTATGCAAGCAAATGTGTCTCATAAGTCAGAAATGGCTGGCCCTTTCAGTAGAGGTGACACTATAACAATCAAGACCTTTACCTTTTATAGTTTTATTGGTGTTATTTACCTTATCTGTAATTAAAGGGCCAGTAGAAGTTGTTGGTCTAGGCGTGGTTGTTGAAGTTGTAGGTGTGGTCGTTATAGTTGTGGGCGTGGTCGATGTAGAAGGCGTGGTTGATGTAGTGGTAGGTTTTTGTGTGGTTGGTCGTTGCTTATCAGATACAAGCTGTTGACTTCCGGAACAGTCACATGCGTAAACCGGACAATTTCCTATTGCACAATTGTCTGTACACCATTTGTCGAGATTAGGATCATTGGCCCAGTTGTGAATACCTTTACAAGACATCTTCATTCCAGTCGATCCCTGTAGTGATAATAGGTTTATTTAGATAATGAATGAACGTCTATATTTAAATGCATGCATGTTTAAAATGGTATGCTATAGTGTATTATGATATTGCATCTACGTCACAAAGAACAGACAATAACTTTTCACGTGAAGGAATCGGTAGAATATGTTTACGTATTTAGTACTATACTAGTAGTCAATACAACTTATAATAGAATGTGATATCCATCATCTACGTCAGTAAAACAGAGCGGGCATATCCTCTGACAATTGGTTTACTTTTGAAGAATCCAGTATTATAAATTAGGGAAGTTAACCGCCTCTAAATTTGACAATGGGTGCCCGTAAATGTGAATTTTTAATTTGATCAAGATATGATTCCCTCAAAATTACACTTAGACGAAACAACAGTTTGTTTAAAGATATACTATGCTCAAGTTTGATACTAGAAAATAATGATAATTGCTACACAGTCTCTTTGTAAATACAAAATAAACGAATGAATTTACACAAAGTAGATATGTGATGTGGTGTTTAAAATTCTACACACTATATGTGGTCACAATATGAATATATAGTGTCATTAAAACAAACTGGCAATTTCTTAAAGGAAAGACCAACTTACCTTGACTTGTAATAGGAAACACAGCTTCCCATACACAGTTTATACATTCTTTTATTCAAATTAGACATAGTCATTAAGAATTTTACAGGTTTCAATCAATTTCTGTGCTTAAAATAGTTTACTCAAAAATGAGCATTATATATCTTTAAGTATGTTTGCACATCATTATTATACGGAGCCCCTAAGGTGACATTTTCCGTACTTTTTTCCCCGGAATTTAATATGTTTTTACGAAATAATAATTCGTAATACGAAATAATTAATTCGTTTTTACGAAATATTAATTCGTTACGAAATATTAATTCGTTTTTACGAAATATTAATTCTTTTTACGAAATATTATTTCGTAATTACGAAATATTAATTTCGTTTTTACGAAATATTAATACGTTTTTACGAAATATTATTCGTTTTTACGAAATATTAATTCGTAATTACGAAATATTTTCGTAATTACGAAATATTTTACGAAATATTAATTCGTTTTTACGAAATATTATTTTGTAATTACGAAATATTATTTCGTAATTACGAAATATTAATTCGTAAAAACGAAATGTTATTTCGTAATTACGAAAAAATAATTCGTAAATACGAAATAATATTTCGTAAAAACGAATTAAATTTTTTCTAGCGTTTCAAAGAGTTTTGGTAATATTTATAAATAAGGCCTCAAAACTAAGTTCCTGACTTAATATAAGGCATGTACATGCAATATAAAGAGTGATTTTTGTTGACCCCAAGTTTTTTAACTTTACACTATTGTACATAAATTAAAATATTGGCATGTCAATAGCGTTGAGCCACAGCCGTGAAAGACACGCGCTAGGAAAATTTACTTAAAATGGGGGTCCTGTGCTTCAAATCCAAACACGGACATTTCTAATACTAAATTGTGAGGAAATATTCATTTTAAATTGATTAGATTAGTGAAATCTGGACCAACCCCCTCCTCGTCCCATTAGTTTTACTTATGTATATGATAAAAGAACGGAATAATATAGCATGTTTCTGTTTTAAAGATACATGTCGTAAAAGATTGCCTCAATCATTAAAACATTGCTGATAGGAACATTGTTTTGACAATGGGGAAAATAGACCATTTTGGATAGAGAATGACTTCTCACTCAAAAACCCTGTTCACTTAAATATAATAACTTGAGAACAATTCGGCTTATAATCGCAAAGTTGATCAAGGCATGTAAATGACCCATTTGTGAGATTAATAGGTTCATTATCAAGCTCAAAATGACCTTAAATAAGATTTCGTATTTACGAATTAATATTTCGTAATTACGAACTAATATTTCGTATTTACGATTTAATATTTCGTAATGACGAAATAATATTTCGTAATTACGAAATAATATTTCGTAATTACGAAATAACATTTCGTAAAAACGAATTAATATTTCGTAAATACAAATTAATATTTCGTAAAAACGAATTGATATTTCGTAATTACGAAATAATATTTCGTAAAAACGAATTGATATTTCGTAATTACGAATTAATATTTCGTAAAAACGAATTAAATGCCGGGGTAAAAGTGTCGAGAATGTCACCTTAGGGGCTCCGTATTATTACACAATCATTCTGATAATATATAAAAAGACTGCCTCATTTCTTTTTATAAATTAAACGTCAAAGTTAAAAACACAGTTACAATTACAGATTTTTTATAGGCCACGTGAGTTATTTAGGAAATAGATATCAATTCTGAGTGCATTTTTGTAGAATAATGCACGGTTTGAGTTCAAATGCGTAGTAATATAATCACGAAAGCCGATATGCCTGAGTGATTAATTACAAAGCATTTGAACGAAAAACGTGCATTATTATTCAATAATGCACGAAGAATTAATATCTATTTCCATTCTAACACGTCAAGAAAAAATATAATTATTGTTATAAAGTTGGACTTTATGTTTGCGTACTTGATTTGATTGTTTTGCACTTGCTGTTTGGCGCTACATTGTGACGTCACGTAAACAACACTTTAAACGGCTGTACAGCGTTACGACTAAATCAAAGATATTGGTGTTCGGATTCATTTTCTTAGTTAGACCATTTTTTTTTCATTCTAGATAGTTTTCACAACAAAATTCGACAAAAAAATTGTTTTTGTTTATCATATTTTTTAAACAAAATGGCGCCATCAATTTTTTAACTACACAGGGAGATAATAAGAACGGCGAGCGCATTGTTGTAGAATAATGCACGCTTTTTTTCTTTTTTTTTAATGCGTTTATTTAAGGTCGCCGCCGGAAAGCCCATATGGGCGACCGTACACTCAAGTCGGGTCATCTAGAGCGTCCCGCCGAGATTTTTCTTCGATTTTTTTTCCAGCTTTATTGGTGGAGGAAGACCCCAGGTGCCCCTCCGGGCATCATTTCAGGCACGAGCGGGCACCTGGGTAGAACCACCGACCTTCCGTAAGCCAGCTGGATGGCTTCCTCACATGAAAGATTTCGACCCGAGTGAGGATCGAACCTACAGTGGTGAGGGACCTGTGATCTCAAGTCAGCGACTTTAACCACTCGGCCACGGAGGCCCCCTTAATGCACGCTTCGGGCCTTTTTTGTTTATATAGAAAAAATTCCGAAGGTGTATGAATTATCGTTCATGCTAAGTAAATTATAAAATTGAAAAGATATGACAAAATGTTTCACCTTGTCTCTCATGGTTTACCTTTTTGATGGGCATAATTTCACTTAAATATAAATATATATATATATATATTATATGTTATTTTGGTTTTGGCGTGATATATGTGGATATATTACCTGCTAAGATTTTATATCACCGAGCCGTTAGGCGAGGGTGATATTTTATCTTGGCAGGTAATATATCCACATATATCACTCAAAAACCAAAATAATAATTTTATTACCCTTCCCCTGCCGAGTTTAGACGATTTTTTAAAAAAGTCATTGCTGTCTCAAATGAAACGTCGAAATACGACTCCCTTTAAAAAATCTGGAAGGGTAATAAATATATTTATTACCCTTCCTGATTTTTTTCCACCTTTTTGATTGGTTATTGAGATCACCCGAAAGAAATTGATATAACCGAGCCAGACGGGTAATATACTCACTAAATTTCCCCGTTGTGTACCCAACGTTGTAAACAACATGCGCTAAGGTGATGCGCGTACGGTTCGATTTTACGCGGTGTAAATTCCGAATTACAAGCACTTTTTAACTGTCAAATGATAAATGTTTACCAAAGTAAAGTAATGATACATATTCTCATCAGTATTGAAAACAAATATGACCTTGTGAAAGCTTGATATTAATTACAAAAAAGTACGTACAATAGACTACTCCTTTTCTCTTGTTTACATTCGTTAGGTACGGGACAAATACGTCATGTATTTATGTGACGTCATGTTGTGATGTGATGAAGGGGTATCCGAAAGGGAATCTTATTTCGACGTTTCATTTGAAACAACAATGATTTTTTAAAAAATCGTCTAAACTCGGCAGGGGAAGGGTAATAAAATTATTATTTTGGTTTTGGAGTGATATATGTGGATATATTACCTGCCAAGATAAAATATCACTCCTAAACCAAAATAACATATAATATATTTTGTATTCATGGCGAAGATCAGATAATGCCAGAAAATAAAATAGCTTGCAATTTAAGTCCGCTCCTACACAAACAACTTCCAAAGTTATGCAAAGTGTTTGATAAAATAGTTAATATACTGAAAAAGATCCAATTTTCTGTGGCAAACTCAATTTTTCCCCGTAGACTGATACATGTC